ATGCTGCGTCTGATCTCGCTATCCCTCTCAGTCTTTAATCATACCCAGCAGTCTCATGTAACTCTCAGTCTCCATACCACCACACCAATATGAAGAAACAGCGCAAATCCCCACCACAAGGAGAGGACGATGAAAAGAGTCCAGAAGCCTCATTAGGTGTTACTCACCTAAGGGATCTCTCTGATAACAAATTCAGATATGAAGTAATGAAGATGTTCAATGAACTCAAAGAAACAGTGACACAGTTATCCAATATATTAAAGGAGGGCATAAAAGAAACAATGGATCGGACAATTGAGAAATTACAGGAAGAAATGAGAGCAGAAATTGGAAAGCTATGCACAGAATTGTCACAAATAAAGGATTCAGTAGATGAAATAAAAAACTCAGTGTGTGTCCTCAACACTAGAATGGCTATAGCTGAAGACAGAATCAGTGAGCTGGAAGATGAGCTGCATCAAGCCTACAGGCAACAACAAACAATGGCGAGACCTCAAAATAGCTCTAGAGCAAATCAGGGTCCTAGGAGATGATTCCAAGAGGAACAACATTAGAATCATTGGAGTACTAGAAGGTCAGGGAAACAATTGCAGTGAAAAAGCCATGGTTAAACAAATCATTGCTGAAAAGTTCCAGAGCTGGATAATGCAGCTATTCATATTCAAGAAACCCTAAGGGTGCCAGTTAAAAGAGACCCTAATACTATACATAAAGCCACTGTTACCAAAATTGTATGGTACTGAAATAAGGATAGGCTCTCAGAACAATGGAATCAAATAGAGAAACAGATCGTCAGGTATAGGGCCAGTTAGTCTTTGACAAAGAGGGTAAGTATGAGTAGAGCAAAGATAGTCTCTTCAACACATAGTGCTGGAAAAACTGGCCACTCACATGCAAAAATAAAGTCAGAGTCATTTCTAATGCCAAAATGGATAAAGATTTTGGTGGTCAAACCTAAATAGATAAATTATATTGGAAGACAGGTACATCATTTTATGAAATCAAAGCTAGAGGTATCTTCAATCGATTCAATGCCACTGGCTAAATAAACTGAAGCAAAGGAAAACAAATGGAATTATGTCAAACTAATTGGATTATGTCTGCACTACCAAAGAAAAAATGACCAAGATAAAAAGACATCCCATAGACTGGGAGAAAATATTTCCCCACTGCTCATCGAGTAAAGGAATACCTAAGATATATAAAGCCAGGTAACCCTTTACAAGAAAAAAAACCCAAACTCATAAAAAACTGGTGGTGGGGGGTAGGGAGGGATGAACTAAAACTTCTTCAAAGAAGACGTAAAGTTGGTCAAAGGTATATTAAAAAAATGCTCTACATCACTTATCATCAGGGAAATGCAAATCAGAACAACAATGGGGTATCACTTTATACCAGTGTGAGTGTGTTACAGGAAGACATCACAAAGAATGGAAAGGACCAGTGTTGGTATGGATGTGGGGGAAATGGCACCTCATTCACTGATGACAGTAATGTCGGTTGTCCACTCATTCTGAAAAACAATATGGACACTTAAAAGAACTAGTAACTGAATTTCCATATGATCCAGCATTTCCACTTTTGGCATGTACCCCAAGGGCTCAAGAGCTCTACTCAAAAAAGACATCTGCACTTTTGGGTTCACTGCAGCACTGTTCACTATAGTCAAAACTAGAAACAGCCCAAATGTCCAAGAACAGAAGACTGGCTAAACTATGTTACATATACACAATGAAACACAACTTGGCTGTAAGATAAAATCAGGCAATTTTCAGCTATTTGGATGGATCTGGAGAGTACCACATTGAATGAAGTTATCCAGAAGGATGGGGACACACACATGATAATCCCTCTCATATGTGGGATATAAAGAAACACAGAGGGGAAAAACATATAAAAATGAAAGAGAAACTAAAATCGAATTTCCAGCAGGAAGTAACCTTAAGGGAGAATGGGGAGATGGATGGAGGGACTCAGTGATGATGTGGAGAGAGGTGGCCACTCTGTGCAATTCTAGAAATTTTACATATGAAACCACACCAATAGGGTTTTTAAAACCACAATGTTTAATATAAAATGTTTTAAAAAGATGAAATGATTCTGAGTGCACACATATGTGATACTTTCCCCCTTGTTATACTTTGTGATCAAGTCTTTGAAATATGAGGGCATTATTTTTCTCATAAATGGGGCCAGTTAACTGGGAATGGGGATCCTATGCCCGTATCCCCCTGCTTCCGGTAACTCAGCAGTCAAACCCATACGCCACCTGTGGCAGGCGTCAGATAATACTGTCACTGGCCACCATCCAGAGTCCCATGTCCTTCTCTCCAGAAGGGAGTATAACAAAACAGATGCCATAACCATACCGCCGGATCTCATGCCAGGCTGTTTCATCCGGAGTACCCTGGAGGGGGGTGGGTGAGACCCCTCCCTGCCCCAAGGGACCCAGCCCCGGCAGCCAAATCCTCCAGAACTCAACCATCACCATGCTCACGGCTGTTCTTCACATGCTCGGGCAGAGCCTAATCCATGAGTGAACCTATTTCTGGACTGTGCAGCCGCACTTATGGCCACTCAACAATTCATACCTTACACCACCCATACTCCAAGAGTACCACACCACATTTTATGGGGTTTATGAAATCAATCTTAGAGAGAAATATAATTTTACATATATATAGCACAGCGGGTAGGGCGTTCGCCTTACAAGCGGCCAACATGGCCGACCCGAGTTTGATTCCTCCGCCCCTCTCGGAGAGCCCGGCAAGCTACCGAGAGTATTTGATATGCCAGACACAGTAACAACAAAGTCTCCAATGGAGACGTTACTGGGCCCGCTCGAGCAAATACATACATATATATATATATATATATATATATATATATATATACACACACACACACAAGGCTCAAACTTTAGGAAATGTTACTGATCTCTTACAGAAGGGCTTAATGGCTCCTGTGTGAAATACAACAATCTTCACATTCTTTCCTGTAAGGAAACATTTTTGTAGCATTTTCAGCAGTTTTTCATGACAAATGATACAAAATAAATTACTTCAGTTCTGCTTTGGGGCAGGGGTTGGGGTTCGGGATGGAAACATTGAAATATGGCAGGTAGTGGGAAGGTGTAATGGTGGTGGGATTGGTGTTCGAATAGTAAATGTAATCAAATATTTTGAACTACTTTATAAAATAAAATTAAAGAAATGGGGCCAGTTAAATTCTCATGTCTTCAATTACCCGAAATTCTACATTCTCTGTAATCCTCATAATCCTCATTTTGGTGCTAATTCATAGTATTATACAGAGTAGGAGTTCAAAGGATAAATTTACACTAGCTCTTCAGTCTTGAAAAAAATCTGCAGTAAGGATAAACAATGGGCTCCATGCAATTGAACAGTTTGAACTCATGCAATTGAATAGTTTGAACTCAGCTGGTTTCAATCAAATATATCAGTCAATTATATCCAAGAGCACTATATATGCTTTAGCACTGTAGCACTGTCCTCCCATTGTTCATTGATTTGCTCGAATGGACTCAGTAACGTCCCACAACAAACTGTGAGACTTGTTGTTACTGTTTTTGGCATACTGAATACGTCACAGGGAGCTTGCCAGGCTTTGCTGTGCAGACGAGATACTCTCGGTAGCTTGCCAGGCTCTCGAGAGTGGTGGAGGAATCGAATCCGGGTCGGCCATGTCGGCTGTGTGCAAGGCAAATGCCTTACCCTCTGTGCTAACACTCTTTTTTTAATTAAAAAGTTTAAAATTTAAAGATGAATTGCCCTCTGTGCTAACACTCTTTTTTTAATTAAAAAGTTTAAAATTTAAAGATGAAATTTACGTGAATTGTACTTTAATGAGATATAATTCTCTTATTAGGTTTTTAAATGATGATATGAAATTATGGCTGGAATGATTTCTTTGAATCTAAGCATCCTTTTAATGTTAAACTGCACATATAATTTAAATGCACTTCAAGTTGGAGTTTCTGAAAGACTGTATAGCTTAATATAACTTCATCCAAATTCCAGAGGAACAACGGCTATAAAAATGATTTTTATCCCAAGAATACCTCAATTTCAAGATTTCACGTCAGTAATAGACATGAAGATTTTAACAAGCTGAACAAGTATTTTGCAAAAAGCTTCACCCTCAAAGGGCAATCTGGCAAAAATTTATGAAGTATTATGGATGGCATCTGTGATTTACTCTTTGTGATTCCAACCAGGAAACAGATTAAAAAGCAAAAAAAAAAAAGCGAATAGATTTTGACTTTCTTCTCCTCTTCCTCTCTGTCCTCATCAAGACTTCCCTGTTCTCATCAAGAGGACCAATAAGAAAATTAATGCTGAAATCAACTACTTAATTGCATTTATCATCATTTTTTGAACACTGCTAATAGTGAAAAATTGTTGTTCAAGTCAAGATGAGTTCTCCATTGGCCACACATCTTGCCATGCCTTCCCCAATCCAGTTATCAAAATGCAGAGTATGTCAGCTGCAGCAAGACCTATGTTTAAAGCATTGTGCCTGATGCCAGGAAGCCTCTACAGAGGTAGAATAAATGCTTAGCATGGATTCACTGTGGAACCCCGACTGGACTCAGAATTCTTTTCATCCTAGGACTCTCAACAGTTACAACTGATACACAATTCTGTGCGTAGGCATCATAAATGCTTAGCATGGCTTCATCGTGGAACCCAGATTCGACAGAATTCTTTCCATCCTAGAACTTTCAACAGTTATAGCTGATACACAATTTTGTATCTATCACAGAACTGACACACAGAGTAGTCACTTCTAGTGGGGACAAATAATTTCAGAACAGATTTCATTCTAACAAAGCAAATAGATTTTGACTTAATCATGGCAATATAAAACAAAACACATTTTATGTTCCTTCTGAAGTCTGATAATTTGGATTTTCTCACAGAGACAGAAAAAAAAGTGAAAAACAAGCAAGCAAGCAAACAAACAAACAAAAAACTTACCTCCACTGCTGCTTTGGCCCTTTCAAATTCCTCTTCTAAGGAGTGGTTTCTGGAGAGCAATGCACTTCCCCAGCGTTGTTCTTTGGTCAGTCGAGCCTGAAATCACCCAAACATAGCATGTCACATATACTAGTAGGATCACAAAATACAAAAAAGAAGAGTAATTTTTCTTTTCCCAAATTCTGTTAAGAGTTTAAGTAGCTTGTAGAGCAGGTAACCTTTTCCAAGTACTCAGAAAGCTTGGTGCCACATGTATGAGCCTGCACGCTTCATTCTTTTAACAACAAGCCACAGCCTAGAGCCTATTAAAACCAATACCCAGCCTTATCCCACTTTAACCGGTCTTTGTTCCAGACACTGGTATTTTAGAGAGCCTCTCCATATGATTCCGATATGCAGCTAGGATGAAGAATAAGGATGAAGAATATCTTTTTAAAGGCTCAATGCAGAAACTGATATGGAAGGTTTTGTCTTGTTAGGAGGACCCAGGAAAAACTGAAAATACTACATTGTGATCTGAAGGCCACAGTCATTTTTCCTTATGCTGAATTCCCTTCCCTGAGCCACCTGGATCCTGGCACAGATCTGTATCTCATACCATTTCCTCAGGACACTGCTCTCTGCTAATCATCACTTAGATAAAATCATGTCGCAGAACCGCAACTATTTCATCACAATTAACATACAACGTATGGTACATCTTTACGGAACTAAATGTGAACCTTGATTAAAGATTCCACCACCAAAAGCCTGTTGGATTTGTGAGTATGTTATAAATTTTGTAATAAAATCTTTTTCAAAAATCACAACCATGGAAAATAAGATGTATACCTCCTGACTTTCTTTTCTTTATATTTACATGTATTTCTTTTTTTTTTTTAATTTTTTTTATTAGTGAAACACCATAAGGTACAGTTGTAGATTTACAATTTTTTGTGCTTGGGTTTGATTATACAATGATCAGATACCCATCCCTCCACCAGTGCCCATTTTCCACCACCATGGATAATATCACCCCCACCCCCATCCCCCCATCCCCCCTGCCTCTGTGGCAGGGGAATCCCCTGTGTTCTCTCTCTCCTTTTGGGTGTTGTGGTCTGCAAAAGAGGCATTGAGTGGCAAACATGTTCAGTCCATAGTCTACTTTCGACATGCATCTCCCCTGCTGGGAGGGTCCTCCAAACACCCTTTATTTGGTGTTCCCTTCTCTATCTGAGCTGCCCTTTCCTCTAGAATGCCCGACTGGCCACTAAGCTATGGAGTAATCCTCCTGGTGCTGATCTCAGCTATTCTTGGGTATTAATCTCATACTTTGTTACTTTATATCCCCCAGATGAATGCAATCTTTCTATGTCTATCCCTCTCTTTCTGACTCATTTCACTTAGCATGATACTTTCCATGTTGTACCACTTGTATGTAAATTTCATGACTTCATCTTTTCTAACAGCTACATAGTACTCCATTGTGTAGATGTACCAAAGTTTCTTTTTTTTTCCCTTTATTGTATTTTATTTTTTTTTAAGTTGTAGATTTACAATTTTTTGTGCTTTGGTTTCAATTATACAATGATCAGATACCCATCCCTCCACCAGTGCCCATTTTCCACCACCATGGATAATATCCCTCCCACCCCCATCCCCCCATCCCCCCTGTCTCTGTGGCAGGGAAATCCCCTGTGTTCTCTCTCTCCTTTTGGGTGTTGTGGTCTGCAAAAGAGGCATTGAGTGGCAAACATGTTCAGTCCATAGTCTACTTTCGACATGCATCTCCCCTGCTGGGAGGGTCCTCCAAACACCCTTTATTTGGTGTTCCCTTCTCTATCTGAGCTGCCCTTTCCTCTAGAATGCCCGACTGGCCTCTAAGTTATGGAGTAATCCTCCTGGTGCTGATCTCAGCTATTCTTGGGTATTAATCTCTTACTTTGTTACTTTATATCCCCCAGATGAATGCAATCTTTCTATGTCTATCCCTCTCTTTCTGACTCATTTCGCTTAGCATGATACTTTCCATATTGTACCACTTGTATGTAAATTTCATGACTTCATCTTTTCTAAGAGCTACATAGTACTCCATTGTGTAGATGTACCAAAGTTTCTTTAACCAGTCATCTGTTCTTGGGCACTCAGGTTTCTTCCAGTTTCTGGCTATTGTAAAGAGTGCTGCAATGAACAAACAAGTGCAGATGTCACTTCGACTATACATTTTTGCCTCTCTGGGATATATTCCCAGGAGTGATATTGCTGGGTCAAATGGGAGCTCAATTTCTAATTTTTTGAGAATCGTCCATACTGTTTTCCAGAAGGGCTGAACCAGTGGACATTCCCACCAACAGTGAAGGAGTGTCCCTTTCTCGCCACATCCTCGCCAGCATCGGTTGCTTTTGTTCTTTTGAATGTGGGCCAGTCTCTGAGGTGTGAGATGGTATCTCATTGTGGTTTTGATCTGCATCTCCCTGATGATTAATGATGTAGAGCATTTTCTCATGTGCTTTTTTGCCATTCGGATTTCTTCTTTGAGAAAGTTTCTGTTCATTTCACTGCCCCATTTTTGGATGGGGTTGGATGTTTTCTTCTTGTGGAGTTTAACCAGTATTTTGTATATCCTGTATATCAACCCCTTGTATATTTACATGTATTTCAATATATGCTCACAGAGAGAATATCATCACGTGCTTCCCAAATTTTTGTGAAATACAAATGGCAAGATATTCTTTAACATTAATTTCCCCCAACTCAACAATAGATCTTGGAGTCTCAGATTTATGTACCTGAAGGTCTGACAAGTGGCAAGAGATTGACTGATCAAGAAGGATTTGGGGAGTAGTGAGACATCTAGGAGGTTCTCCCACCCCTTTTATTTCAGGTGAGGGTTGGGGGACATGTGACCCTTGGCTATCATGCTAAGAACTGGTCTTTGGGATACCCAACTGGGTGACAAAGCAGTCAAATTAAATAAGAAGATTTAGGTCAGGCCTGGGCATTAGATGCTTGAAAAACTCCTCTAGTGGTTTAGAAAAGGAGTCTCTTTCTTTCTTTTTTTTTTGTGAGTCTTTTCATGTCTATTTTATTTATTTTATTGATTGACTTTTTTTTATTATATCTGTAATTACAGTTCAAAAATATAATTTAGAGATCTTTTTATCTATTTTACTTTATTGAATCATCATGCATGAGATATAGTTACAAGCTCTTATGTTTGAGTTACAATCACACAATGATCAAACACCATCTCTCCACCAATGCACATTCCCCACCACCAATATCCCCAATATGCCCCCCTTTCACACCCTCTCACTGCCTCCATGGCAGACAGTATTACCCATACTCTCTCTTTACTTTTGGGCATTATGGTTTGCAATACATATACTGAGAGGTTATCACGTTTGGTCCTTTATTTTCAGCACACATCTCCCATCCCAATTGATTCCTCCAACTCTCATTTTCTTAGTGATCCCTTCTCTATTCCAGCTGCCTGCTCATGAGGCAGCTTCCAAGTATGGAGCGATCTTCCTGGCCCTTGTATCTACTGTCCTTGGGTGTCAGTCTCTGTCACTGTCACTGTCACTGTCCTCCCGTTGTTCATCGATTTGCTCGAGCAGGCCCAGTAACGTCTCCATTGGAGACTTTTTGTTGTTACTGTGTTTGGCATATCGAACGCATCATGGGTAGCTTGCCAGGCTCTGCCGGGCAGGCGAGACACTCTTGGTAGCCTGCCGGGCTCTCCGAGAGGCGCAGAGGAATCGAACTTGGGTCAGCTATGTTGGCTGCATGCAAGGCAAATGCCCTACCGCTCATGTTATTTTATACCACAAATGAGTGCAGTCCTTCTATGTCTTGAAAAGGAGTCTTAAGGAAACCACCCTGCTATAACAAAACTTTTTTCTATACCCAGCATGTACCACTACAATCGCCTATCTGCTTTCACTCTTTCTCCACCATCCTTGATCCTTGAAATTCCACTCTGTCCTCTCACCCACCCTCAAGTATTATTTTTATACAATAGTGGAGCCAGAGCTCACTACATGCCAGATATTGCTTTTAGTAGATACTAGGCCTCTTTTTTTCTTTTCCAAGTAGGGTTTTATCAACTTCATGATACTGAGGCACAGTGAATGTAATTAACCAGTTCATAACCATGTAACTAGCAAGTAGTGAGTTGGCACTTTAGGGCTATTTTGCATGACTGCATATACTGCCTCTCATGGCAGTGTGTGCTTCAAGAAGTTGCAAAGTATGAAAAAGCTGTCCCAAGAGGATCCATGCATGGATGAGGGAGTCAGCCAAGAGTCCTCAATAATACTGTGGGCTGAGAACAATAATAACGAAGCAGTGATTATAAACACTTCTGTGCCCCAATAATAGTCTAGACATTGCTCTGCTTTAAAGAACTTAGAAGATGAAGTTAAGGACATATTTGTTTTAATTCTTTCTGGTATATTTGGTGCAGTAGCCCTCATACTTTCCAAAATCACTATATGGTCCATAGTCTATAAACATTTATAAAATTAAGCATTCTTGGCACCAGAGCATTAGTACAATGGGTAGGGCATTTGCCTTGCACGCAGATGACCCTGGTTTGATTCCTGGCAACCCATATGGCCTCCCAAGCACTTCCAGGAGTAGCTGTTGAGTGCAGGGATCAAACCAGGGTCATCTGTGTGCAAGGCAAATGCCCTACCTGTTGTACTAATGCTCTGGCGCCAAGAATGCGTAATTTTTGTAGGGGCCACACCTACCAGTATTGGGTGGAGAGCTTAGGTTGATTTTCTCAGTGGCAATGCTCTAGGAAGGGATGATATGCAGTCCGAGGGGTCAAACTCAGGGCCTCATGCTTGCTAGGCATACTTGTACCATATCTGAAGCCCTCAATATTTGTATATTGTCCTGTGCCTAGGTGGTCTGGTCTGATGAAGTCCGAGACCCTGGTTGCAGGGTCTACTCAGACCCTACTCAGGGTGGGAGTAGATGTTCTGGTGGGGCACAGTATAAGGTAAGGCCCCTGGGAGTGCAGACGGGTGAGGTCACTAGAGGTCAGGGTTGGGTGAGAAGGTCATTAAAGCCTCCCTGTTGAGTGGGCCAGTCCTACTGACCCCATG